CCCCAAAACCCCAAAACCCCAAAACCCCAAAACCCCAGATTAAATCTATGAATGGAACATTTATGAGGAAATCTTTAAACAGGAGTCTCTTTCATTTCTATTCCATTAATGTCCTCTTCAGTTATTGGAGTCTTGCATAGGGGACAGTTGTTGTTCTCCTTCACCCAGTCGGCAATGCATTGGGAATGGAAGATGTGAGTTTTGTGGCATGGTAAGTTAATAATATTGTCTCCTTGCTTGAAGTCATCAAGACAAATTGTACAGCTCTTTGTACTTCTGTAGTCCTCGGGATTAAACTTGAATTGAGCAGCATTCAATAGCAAGTCGCTCAGAGCAACGTTAGCTCTCTTCTTTTCATTATCAGCGGCTGCTGCGCAGCATAGAACACTAAGAACGAAAGTTATCAAACATGTGAGTCAGCAACACATACACATGCTTCATAGAGATTCAATTAGAAGGAGGAAGTGACCAAACCAGAGCCAATTCCAGCTGTCTCTACAAGAGTTATTTCTATTAATGTAGAGAGATATGACATGATAATAAAATACTAAAAGTCCTAGGAAGATACAAACATCAAAGATGTGGAATAGTGTTGGCTTTATTATCTTTGCAGACAAAAGATACATAGTCACAAAATAATATGCGCAAAGACCTCCTTTAATCTTAACAGCTAGCCAAAGAAGTCCTCTAATATCTTGTCCTCAGTTATCAAGACCAGAAGCCATGATACAGATCAAAATCATAATCACCGAGCAAGCAAATCTTGAAATTGTCTGCCCATTTTGTTTTGATAAAGCTTTAGCTCTGATGCTTTCTTGCTCAGCTTCATGCTGCTCATAATTGGTCGTAGTTGGCCTTCTTACAAGACCAAGATCTTGAGCCATATCCTTATCGTCCAAAAGTCCACTATCAACGCTGTTCATCTTAAGTGCAAAATTCCTTTACAAAAATTATATTTTCTACAATAAAACATGTCCACGGGGTTTTGGGGTTTTGGGGTTTTGGGGTTTTGGGG